TTTTGAAACCTGTAAGTTTGAAATAGTCTACAGTGACATCATGTGTAATGGTCATTGGGAACGAGGCTGCACCAAAAAGAATACGAATGTTATTATATATGCGTACACCAATTATATTATATGCACTTTATGATACAGTCTCCTGTAATGAATGATATTTAATGTGGGCTGTTTATGTTGTATAATAATAGCTTCTAGTCTTTCCTAGCATTGGTTGCTGTAATGAATTTTTCTTATGATGCACTAATATTTGTCTTCTGTTGATTGTTGTATTTTTGGTCGTGCAATTCGCTACTTAAACATTGCCATAATGATTTTTTTTAAACAGCTTGGCAAGGCAAATTCGATATTTTACAGAAACTGTGAGTGCAAGAGATTATAAAATACGTAGAATGAACCTAATTGTATTTATTGTTTTTTTAATCGTTTTCTACGGCTTATCAACCCTTTGCAGTTTATTTAAAACCAGAAAAAACATTTTAGATTTTAAGAATTATTTGAGTTAATACTTGCTTAATGATACAAATCTTACTAATTAACCCATAGCTGGGTGAGAAGAGGTAGATTCATACCTTTCCCAAGGGTATTTGCGTGTAAGTGAATATAACAAACCCAACGGGTATTAGAACTCAGCTCATGGATTAACGAACCATTACACCGCCCGCACGTCCAATCTTAGAGCACCTGGTATTCGCAAAGGTCACCCATCTAGATACTGACCAGGCACGACGTTGCTTAATTTCGGTGACCGTGCGCTTTTCAGTATGTATTGCATCTTTGAATTACTGTTTATTCTAGTCTTTATGGAATATTCTTAATGGAAGAAATTGTACTTCATTAGAAGACGGCAACAGAAAATTTCTGTAACAAAAGAATCATGACGGAGTCTGGAAATATCAGAACAAGATGAAGCAAAGCAGGAAATATATTGTTCAAAAAAGTTAATTTCGAAAAGAAAAAAAATATACATTTTTTACTCAATAACTTTTTTGGAGACTCAATATACAAAGAGATGATGAAAAGTTTCCAGACGGCACAAAAATCTTCGCCCCATACGCCCCCAAAATATCTGCTGTTTCGTCTTGGTGATGTTTGATTAGATCTTAGGAATTAGGTCGGGCTGAGAACTTTCAAGCGTCCCATCGTATGAGATATTCAGTAACCGCCCGACGCGGTCGAATGTGGCACAAGGCCGAGTTTATTGTGGGGTATCCGAGCCTATAGGCGCTACCAAAAATTCCCCGTAGACCCCGTAAAAAACAGGATCGGGTAACTGTCTCCCGAGATGAGACGAGACTGTCTTTCGACATAGCTTCGTCTGGGGTTCCTCTCTGCCCGGAAGCAGAGAGTTTGACCAGCACACTTCCGAAGCAATCCGGAGAGGGATCGCGTCTCCTCGTTGGAACATTAAACAGAATGCGGCGGAAATACCTCCAACATATACCTCCCACATAATGATAAGACATTAGGTAGATGATGACTATGACACCATTACCACTAATGTTTTACTATTATGTATGAAAAAAGACAAAGGGAAACATTTTCTTTATCAACGCGTTTCGTCCTCTAATGGACTTTATCAAGACAAATGTAAGGATTTTATTTTGTAGCATGTATTTATAAACGGAAGTAAAAAAAATATTAATCTTTATTATATCTTTTGCCTTTATTCATATCATTTTTTCAAGGTATATTTTATTTATATCTGAATTTTGACCCCCCCCCCCAACGCATACATATTTTTTATTGAATGAGATTGACGGAGATAATTATGTAAGTTTTTCATTCAGTTTTTTTCTGCTGTGCTTGAAGCTTTTCTTTTATGAGAACTAAGAATTATAGATACCAAAAAAATACACTAACATCAAGCTTCTTGCAGACAGCTCAAGAATTAGCCAAAAAAACTTTGAGCAGTAATCCCAACGGGCAGTTCCTTAACGCTCTTAGTCCGTCTTTTTCATTTATTTCACCCCATACAAGGTAGTAAAAGCCACTAAGAGACAAGGGATTACTGGGTGTAAAAGAATTAAAAATCAGAAACATTAATGAGTGGGAACAAAAGAGTAATCAAGAGGACAGTAGACAGCGATATATGTACACACACACACACATATATATATATATATATATATATATATATATATATATATATATATATGAAGAAAAAAATATATACTGAAAAAAACAAACAAAAATCCTTATATACAATTATGCTGTTTTAATGTTAATATGTCAACGTCGGACGTTTCGGTCTAATAAACCATCTTCAGGACATATTCATAAATTATAACATTATCAATACAACATGACAAAGACGATGTACATAAGAACAAGACTTATCTAAACAGATAACTGAAAGTTTTATAAGATCAGCACTCCGTTTGGATACATACACTACACACACACACATATATACATACATATACTACACAAATATACATAAATATACATACATATACTACACACACACACATATATATACCTATACTACACACACACATATATTTACTCACACATATTTCAGTATATGTGTGTGTGTTTAGTATATGTATATATATGTGTGTGGGTGCCGTATGTGAATATATATATGTATGTGTATTATATATGTATACATGAGAAAGTGAGAGATTATAGGTTTGTCTTATATATTAATATTTAATGTGTAGAAGGTGAACCCACAAATGTGTCTCAGTTTCTGCTAAAATTTGCGGTCAATGCACACAGCCGTTTATCGATTCAAGAGACCAGGTGTTGGAAACAATTCTCTCTTCTAACAATGAACGAATCTCACAGTGAATTTAATTAATAAAACCTGAATTCAATTTGCTTTCTGTTTTTTTTTTCTTTTTGTGCCTGTAATAACAGGTCATGCAATAATATTCAAACTTTTTCATACGACAAATGAAAATTATTATTCATTCAGAATACATAGATATTATGTTTTCCCTAAATGACTTCATCTTAATAAAACGAAAGTAAAAGTAATTCTGTTGGCAACAAGAACAAAATCATAGAAATATCTTACTATCTGCAATGTATATTACAGTCATTTTAATTACAGCTTTTCTTAAATTCCTACCACTCCAGTAAGTACCAGACTCCTTTTACCATACTTATCTTTATAAGTCAGTTTTGTTCTAAAATAAATTATTTATCGATTGATTTGCATTTTTACGGCTTATCAACTTTTTGCAGGTTATTTCAAGCCAGAAAATATTGTTACATTGTAAGATAATTTCTTTTTTAGATAATAATGATTTAGTCATTCAACCCATAGTTGGAAGAAGAACTGTTGATACCTTTCCCGTGGTATTTCCGCCTAATGACCTCTAAGGGAATTTTAACTTGTCTCTCCGATTACCAATTTCGAGCCACTATCCATTGCACCACCCGCACATCCAAGCTTACAGCACCTGGTATTCCCAAAGGCCAGCCATACTGACCAGTCTTGAAGTTGCTTAACTTAGGTGATTGCCTAGTAACCGGTGTTTCAATAAGCTGCTTAAATATCATGCTGATCATTGTTCTCTACAAATTCCAATCCTTTGTAGCTCTTAGCAATGTTTGCTCCTTGTTTTGAAATCCATTTACGTAAGCAAGTTAAGTAGATTACTCATTGTTGTTGCTCTCCGTCCCTTTAGTGTTGTGATCAAGTAAAGGGTTAAGAAATAACAAAACAAGAGGATGCAGATAAATAGTGTATTGAACAGTAAATACAACAGAAGAGTGTTACATAACTTGGGAGTGTGTGTCGGTTGACCAGTGTTCAGTCTATATCACTGTTCCCCCCGAGGATTACTTTTCCTACTAATTTTATAGTAAGTGGAGGAGTCCACAACAGTCTCATTAGAAGAAAGACATCACAACAAGTGTGTAAGAAATAATGACTCTCCACAACTTCCTACCCTCTCTAGTTCTAAACAATGTTTGTGTTTTACTAACCCTCTCATACTCTGTTCTGTCATCCATTAACACAAGCTCGTTAACCCTTTGAGCCCTGACCACCGCTTTATCGGTGGTAGAAAAAATTAACTTAATGCTCAGCCACCGTTTGAACGGTGAGTAAACACTTACGCCGTGTTTTGCTATTCTTGTGCATCAAGAGAGGCAGCACCTGCTGGATAGATTGGCACACAAAGAAAGAATTTGGGCGATAAAGTGAAGGCATGCAAACATACTCTCTCCCTGCTAAGTATAATGCTTATATTTTTTGTAACTATTTTTATATCTACCGTGAAACTTTACATCCCAATTATTTGCGAATTTCGACTCGGGAGCTCAAGCAGAAGGGCTACAATTGTTCAGGAATGCTGGACTCAAAAGGTTAATTAGGAGGTAGGTGATTACGGCTTTTCACAACTTCATATCTTAAAACACTATCACTCCCAGTCACTATTTTACCATTTACACATGCCCATCAGGTAGATTGCTCGCTGTTTCCATGAGTCCCTTAAAAGATGGTTATTGGTGTAAATCGCATAACGTCATGTCTTTCAAATGGCGATCAACAAAATACAGAATTCTTTATTTTATTGTAAACTATATAATTAGGTTTCCTTAATTATATAGTTGCCAGTTAGATCAGACTTAATTTAAACCGCGATAATTCTTTATTTACAACTTCTGAGCAACTCCAAAAACGATTATTTTTTTAGTGTAGCGTTCCTTATTTCTGTTGGTTGGAAAATATTGCTTGGTTTTTGCTGATTGGTCAGATTTTATTCATGTATTTGACGTCATTTTTTTCTTTTGAGTTTATATATATATATATATATACATATACATATATATATATATATTAAATTAAAGTAATTTTTGTTCATTCTTAATCTTGAAATGAAAGCAATGCTTTGGTTGTTTTAATACAGAATAAGTTTTTTAAAAAAAATATGTACCTTATTGAAAAATTTTTCACGTCATGCCGGCTTCGTTCATTTTATGGCGTATCAATGAATATTATTATTGAATACTACTTAAGAGTATTTTGATTTTTCAAGGTTTACGACCACATCACATTGAAACACCTGTTCCCGTACGATCACCGAAATTAAGCAACGTCATGCTTGGTCAGTATCTAGATGGGTGAATGCTTGTGAATACCAAGTGCTGTAAGCTTGGATGTGAGGGTGGTGTAAGAGATAATGTCACAGAATTGTTAGTCGGGGAGCCGAGTTCCAATTCCAGTTGGGTTCGTTATATTGACTTACGCGCAAATACCCTTGGGGAAATGGATGAATGTACTTCATCTCTCCCCATCTATGGGTTAATTAGCAAGATTGTATCACTAAACCATTATTATCTCTCCCCAAAATTCTTACAATCTAAAGCAGTAAGTTTTCTGACTTTGAATAAACTGAAAAGGGTGGTTAAGCCGTAGAAAACGAACCAATCAATATTTGTTTTTTCATCGTATTATCGAAGTGATTATAGACGTTTATTGCCAGAGGTTTTAGGGTATTTCTTTTCTCAAAGGTGATTAAAGTTTTTCAAAATTAGTGTTTTTCCTCTTGGGATAAGTAGCTTGTAGATAATTCGATGTTAACAGTCAGAAAATGTAACGTGTATATTACGACTAGAATTAATGACGTTTGCTTTAGAATATTCATTTTATTTTACCAAAAGACTGCATTTTATTATCGACGTCGTTTCACCGTTTGAAGAGATACTGTCTCTTTTAGTTCTACTAGTAGTGTCTAGATTTACTGATTTTATTGGAGATCGAACCTGGGTCACCGGGTTAAAGAAATTACGGAGTTACGTGATGTTTAAATGATAGCTTAAACTGAGACCAGCTAACGGCAGTGGTAGAATTGGTTGCCGAAATGAAGCGAGGTGAATGCATTTAGTGAAATAATTTATACAGTAATCAGTACATGAACTATGTAACAGTCTTAATAATAATTAAATATTTATTTTACTTGTACTGCATGTAGAAAAAAAGGGGTTGATAGTAAGTAAATCTGTTTCAATTGCGAGGAATTTAAATGATTAAAACACACAAAAGGCATATTTTGTAAAACAATATACTCAGTGTATTAGTTGCTCACTGTAATGCGTCTGACCATAATTTCGATTTAAAAAAAAAAGGTTACTTTAATTAAAAAAATAAAAACAATTTTCTAAGATGAAAGTGTATAAAAAGTGCTTTTTTTTTCGCTGGATCGTCCACAGTAAATTTGCACCAGGCTCTTACGACATTTCATCTTTCTTGGCAGATTTTCTGTTATTACAGTGTAATTAATAACAAAAGTGATAAAAAATATAAACAAAAAAAACTCAATGAAATTGGCTAGACAAATTACCCAAACTTCTATTTGCCACGTTACTATCCCGTGTGGCTCCTGACAGTTTTACTCCATTTGCTTTGATGAAGTTCTAAACGACAAAAATACGTCACACGAAAAATACTTTCCACTGTCTCATTAATTTTCTTAACATAGTCTTGGTATGTAAAAACTTATATATCCTTTTCTTCCATACTGATCAAGACCACATCAACTGACTAAAATAGAGATGAACGAACATTAACAGATCAAAATAGATATTAACAGATCAAGATACACAGGCAGACAATCAGGCCGAAATAGATATGAACGGAACAAGATAGAAATTAGCAGATAAAAATATATAGATTGATATGGACATAGATAGATGATAGATGGATTGAAATAGGTAGATAATGGACAGATTTAGATAGATATGGACAGATATAGATAGCTATGGACAGATTAGATAGCTAGATAGATATGGAGAGATTTATATGGACAGATAGATGGACTGAAATAGGTAGATAGATATGGACAGATTTTGATAGATAAATAGATAGATATGAACATATATATATATGGATAGATAGACTGAGGTAGATAAGCTGACTGAGATATATATGAACAGACTGAGAGAATGATTTATATATGGATAGACAGACTGGGATAGATAGATAGATAGATAGATAGATAGATAGATAGATATGTACAAACTAAGAGAGGTAGGTAGGTTGATGGGTAAGTGAGCTGACAAGAAAAGATCACGAGTCATGTACTGATCGCGCCAATAAGTCTAATTGAATAACAAAAGAGCCAAGTGTAACAATTATGAAAGAATATCAAAAATTATTTTAAAAATCTAAATTAAAAATCTGATTATATTGAACAGTCACAATAAATGGGTTATTATTTTTCCACCGAGAAATGTTAATAGTCATCATTTCAGATTGAAACCTTGATAGCTGTCTTCTATAGAGAGAGCATTGGTATCGGGGCAATTTACTTCAATAAGGCCTAGTTTACAAGATTGTAAAGACAGTAGATAGATATCGTGGAATATCAATTCTGCCTAAAGCAGACCGATATCAGTTGCAGACATCAGAGTATTCCAGGTTTTCACCTTTGACTGCCATGGAAAAAGCGCCGTCTGTAGTAGCAAGGGAATTCATTATTTATTTCTTGTACGCAGACACCCTCACGCAAGAATCAAATCTAGAAATCTCATGCATTACTCGTCTTAAAATCAGATGGCTTATTTAAGGCAAAATATTTCTTTGATTTTCTGGTTTTTCGTTATAAAACAATTATCAATATTACAAGATTAAAAAGGAGTGAAGGTAAAATCATTTTTACTTTCCCGGAATTAAATATGATTTCAAAGTCAGCTTTATCGAGAATTAGATACGGAAAAGGAATCTTCGTGTTTAAGATTATCGAGTTATTTGAGCAAAGACGGAAGTGATCAAAATGCGCCAAAAAAAAAAACAAAACGAAAATGTTAATAAAGAAGAGTTTATTCACTAATTCAGGTTCGAGATACCGCCGCCTTACAAAGAACAGTTCCGCTTAAATTGCCAGGCAACATTACAAGAAATTGACAATTAGATGAAATATTTATATTAGTTTTTATTAATATATAATATATTCTGTATTTTTTTTTCCTACAGTTATTGCACACCAGTGATGGGGCCATGAAAAGTTTCGGGCCGCTATGACATTAAATTTTCTTTAACATTGGCCTATCCAAGAGTAATCGTTCATCAGCTAGCATTCTAACATAAGCTTTGGCATAATTGCAAGAATTATAAACAGTATTTGTTCGTACGTAAATGAGAACCTTTTATATTAATATATAATATATCATACATTATGAAATGGACAAAGTCCGACAATTATTTTAAGACATTTTTATATTTAATATTCTTTTTATAGATACAAATATTTAAGTAAATGCACTGTTTATAATAAACAGTATGGAACAACATTTACCGGCCTGAATGTCCGAGAAATTTTCACAGAAAATATTCGTCCTCCGACAGGAATCGAACCTGTATCCTATACGGAACCGTCATACGGATACGGATACAAGTTCCGAATTTTCTCGAAGGCCGGTTGTTGTTTAATACTGTTTATTATAAACAGAGCATTTACTCTTTGTATCTAAAAAAAGAATACCCGCTCGGCCCGGTGGCTAGGATCAAAGATCTGTGCTTTGTGAGCTGCCGAGCCGGGTGTCTGTCGAACTCTTGCAGAGAGGAACCACGAGGCTCCGCCGAACCGTTCAGGGAGGTTGATTTGAACTAGCCCTTGGACAGGTTTAGATGGGTTTTATTTTGGCTGGGCCTACGGGCTCGGACATACCCAAAAAAGGCCTTGTGCCACATTCAATTCCCTGTGGGTGAATTGATAAATACCATCTAAAAAAGAATACCCGCTCGGCCCGGTGGCTGGGATCAAAGTGTAGTATCTGTGCTTTGTGAGCTGCCGAGCCGGGTGTCTCGTCGAACTCTCTCTGCTTTGCAGAGGAACCTGGACAAGCTCCGTTTTCGTTCGGGGAGGTTGACGGAACTACTGGACGGGTTTATGGGTTTAAACAGGCTGGGCCTTTACATACCCACATTAAAAGGCCTTGTGCCACATTCAATTCCTGTGGGTGAATTGATAAATACCATCTAAAAAGAATACCCGCTCGGCCCGGTGGCTAGGATCAAAGTGTAGTATCTGCGCTTTGTGAGCTGCCGAGCCGGGTGTCTGTCGAACTCTCTGCTTGCAGAGAGGAACCCGGACGAAGCTCCGCCGAAGGGTGGGGGTTTCGTTCAGGGAGGTTGACGGAACTAGCCCGCTTGGACGGGTTTAGATGGGTTTTATTTTTGGCTGGGCCTACGGGCTCGGACATACCCACATTAAAAGGCCTTGTGCCACATTCAATTCCTGTGGGTGAATTGATAAATACCATCTAAAAAAGAATACCCGCTCGGCCCGGTGGCTAGGATCAAAGTGTAGTATCTGTGCTTTGTGAGCTGCCGAGCCGGTGAATGTCGAACTCTCTGCTTGCAGAGAGGAACCCGGACGAAGCTCCGCCGAAGGGTGGGGTTTCGTTCAGGGAGGTTGACGGAACTAGCCCTTTGGACGGGTTTAGATGGGTTTATTTTTGGCTGGGCCTACGGGCTCAGACATACCCACATTAAAAAGGCCTTTGTGCCACATTCAATTCCTGTGGGTGAATTGATAAATACCATCTAAAAAAGAATACCCGCTCGGCCCGGTGGCTAGGATCAAAGTGTAGTATCTGTGCTTTGTGAGCTGCCGAGCCGGGTGTCTGTCGAACTCTCTGCTTGCAGAGAGGAACCCGGACGAAGCTCCGCCGAAGGGTGGGGTTTCGTTCGGGGAGGTTGACGGAACTAGCCCGCTTGGTCGGGTTTAGATGGGTTTTATTTTTGGCTGGGCCTACGGGCTCAGACATACCCACATTAAAAGGCCTTGTGCCACATTCAATTCCTGTGGGTGAATTGATAAATACCATCTAAAAAAGAATACCCGCTCGGCCCGGTGGCTAGGGATCAAAGTGTAGTATCTGTGCTTTGTGAGCTGCCGAGCCGGGTGTCTGTCGAACTCTCTGCTTGCAGAGAGAACCCGGACGAAGCTCCGCCGAAGGGTGGGGTTTCGTTCGGGGAGGTTGACGGAACTAGCCCGCTTGGTCGGGTTTAGATGGGTTTTATTTTTTGGCTGGGCCTACGGGCTCCGGACATACCCACATTAAAAAGGCCTTGTGCCACATTCAATTCCTGTGGGTGAATTGATAAATACCATCTAAAAAAAAAAGAATACCCGCTCGGCCCGGTGGCTA